GCTTCTGCTTTCACCGGGTACATTATTTTCAGTTCTGGCTCATCTGAAAAATGTTCTAATCGACTGTAATCAGTTCTGGCACAGCGCCAAATTAATCAAACAGTAAGGGGTGAATTTACTTTTTTGGAAATCGGCCGAGAAGAGGGAAGAATGGACGAGGACAGATGACGGAGTGAGGAAATGTGACTCTGATAAGGGAGAAGCGGCCGACAAAGGGGCCAGGGTGGGAGGGGGAGGGGAAAGTGAGGTAAAAATGTTAATATTTGATACTTAAAAATTTACTCTTTCGCTAAATTGGTGCGAAATTATAGAGCGATCCATTTAACTAACCATACGATCCCAGTAAACTAACCTGCACCATCCGAAACTTCTGGCGTTGGTATCCCGAGTTGACCAAAATTGTTCAGTCCACAAACATAAAATGCGCCATCGACAGAACGTGCAGCTGTCCAGAAACCACCGGCCATGATGTTATCAAAAACAACCAGTTTCCGTTTTGCTTTGTCAATTACGGAAATTTTCAATGAATCCGGCGAATCGCTGACCATTCGTTGGGAACGAATATGCGATACACGTGCGCATCTTCCCAGCTGGCCCACTGAACCATCGCCGAAAGTTAGCACTTCACCATTCTCTGATAGCATCACCAAATGATTCTCACCGGCTGCAATCTGTAAATTTTCTGCTATTCTACAATTTCGAAACAAATATGTCGCTCGAAAGGCAATGCAAGATGCTTCAAATCTGAAAATTCGATTTATTATTGTTCCAAGATTTCCAGTTTTTTCTTCAAATCGGGAAGTGGCAACGTTCGAAAAGGAAGCTCGGCACACACCACGAACATCTCGAAACGACTACAGCCTTGCTAGGAAGGGTCACTAACAAGACTGACCACTACGCAATGATCAAAAGAACTGGAAAAATTGCCGGCTACGTAGATTTCGAAAATCAGAATACAGACTGATAAGTGTAGCAAATATATCTGAAGAGAAAATGAAAATCTTGGAATAATAAAGAATCGAATTTTCAGATCTGAAACATCAAAAATTTACAAAAAAAAAAAAATTGTTACAAACCTTTACGATTACTTTGTGCTGGTGCTGTACGATGACCACCGGCCGTTTTTCCATTTCCAGTAATGTTTCATGACTTTCGATACATCCAGACATACCCTTCAAATGACAAATATTAATTAAAGAATTTCAAAAAAAACAAAAAAAAAGCTTAAAAGACAGGAAAAAAAACGTACTCGTAAATTACCCCACGCAATCACACTTCCTTGGTCGGTGAGAGCTGCCGAGAAGCTGGCACCTGCAGTAAGCATCACTATCTGAAACCAGTGAAAAATCACTAAACAATTATGATTGCATCATTGAGAAAACAGCTAGCAGGCAGGATGACCATCAGGGATGTAATGAAGTGAAATGAAGCTTGCTGGGATCTAATTAAGTGAAACTGTTGATGAGGGAATAACCAAAAATTGCATGTGTGTATGTGAGATATTGATTGGGAGGGATGGGAAATGGGTTATGCAGCTAATCTATTATCGCATGATTGTAGCATGAAAGTAATATGAAGAGCATAAAAAAGAAGGCAAGAATAGAACGAATTATGTAATGCAAGAGGTAGAAATATTGCTGGTACAGGAAAAATAAGCAAGAGAGAGTTAAGACGTTCCGATCCATGAAGTTATGGAGATTGAAGAGGATGGAAGTGATGATTAATCCGTGATTGTAGTGACTAATAGTGAAAATCAAAGAGATAAGAGGGGGGAAAGTGAGTGGAGGGAGGGAAAGAAAAACAAAGTTGTATAGGTGCATATTTTGTGAGAAAGTATGGACATGTGTTATGAGTATGTGAAAAGTAATATGTAGTACTGAGGTCAAAGGAAATGAAAAAGTTACCAGCTGCATAGCAGAAGAATCAAGCTATGAATGAATTAAAACCAATAACAGATATTCAAGCATGGAGGAGGAGGATTTATTTGATCTGGGACAAAAAAGTACGAGCCTTTCCATGACGCTGTATCAGTTCATTGTCGAATATTATTGGTGTTAGCTTATCGGTGGATCCTTCCGGCTCCACACCTTCACCCGGAATTGTACCTTTCTCATTGATTCCGCAACCGTATACGGTACCATCTTCGAGTAGCACCAACGAATGGACGCCACCAGCAACCACCTAAAAAATCATGAAATTCTTCATTTCGCAGTCGTTTTTAAGTAGCACAAACAAGTACTGGGTTTGAGAAAACGTAAATTTTATGTAAATTAAATAGAATACGTGAATCTTTAGTTTTTTTTCTAGTCTGCCAGGATGTCTAATTAATAAAATTTTATCAAGGTTTTTGAGTAAAACCT